GTCACCACAGACCACACAGTACTCCACCACCTGGGGCCGCTGGACGTCTGCCTTCCCCAGCAAACGCTCCACAGAAGCAGAATCCGTGACGATCTAAGATGTCAGCAAAAACAGTGCCAATTAAAATCTAGATAGCTAAATACAGTAACATATAGTTGTATATTCCCAGTCTTGGGTATCTAAACAAAAGAACTCTCTGGGCAGAACTGGGATTGCTCTGAAAGCTTCATTCAATAGCCCACTAGCCTGCATATGTTAGTGACTGTTCTCTTGTGAACAAGACTGGAAGACACATGGGGATCCCACATAGATTCTCTAAGATAAAGACAGGTGAAGTTCTTCAGCTATGTGTCTCATCCCATCAAACAACATGGAACTGCAAGCTGGTGTTGGTCAGAGCTTTCCTGACTAGATCTCTTGTGGAGGCACCTGGTAACAGATGGCCTGAGTAGTACGGATGAGAGCGGAAGCCTGCTATTTCCTCTCCCTTATAGGTTACTCTCTAGATAACAAACTGTGCTATCCATCTAGGAGAAAACATAGCTGACACCAATCTGAAAAAGTTTAAACAACAGTTATTTTTTAAAATGTACTTAACTTGAACACACAATAAATCTTCAAATGAATCTCACAAGGTGGGACCATATACAGAATTCAGGTAAAATCACCTGTAAATTGTGACATCAGCAACCTAGTCTTTCACAAACCCGTACTTTTAACTTTAGTTTTACATCAAAGGATCAAAACACACTTTGGGAGAGGGAAGAGAGATAATGCTTGCTAGCTCTCATAAATATAAAAACACATCAAAAAATTTAAACAAAGAGTCTGAACTGTTGAATTGGTACAGCAGTTAAGAGTGCTCATGGAGGACTCAAATTCAGTTCCCAGCACTCAAATTCAGGCACTTCACAGCTGCCTACAACTCTAGCTCTCTAGAGGAAGCCAACACCTCTCTGCCTTCTGCAGGAACCTAAACTTACTAAAAATATTCACCTGAACATACTCCAAAGATACTCACATGGGAGGAGTGTGGAGTGTGTGTGGAAGTTGCCAGAGAAGGGGGCTTGAAGGAAGAGGTACAGCACTCCTAACTTCTTAAATCTCTTCACTGTGGCTTATGTGTGAGAGCCCCAATAGGTACAGAGTTTCAGTTTGGGAAGATGAAAAGAGTTATAGGTGGTGGTACAATAATGATTAAGATGGCAAATTTTGTATTATGTACAATTTACCACAAATTAAAAAACAAAAACCAAGCCAGGAATAGTGGCATGCACCTTTAATCACAGCACTCAGGAGGCGGAGGCCGAGGCAGGCAGATCTCTGTGAGTTGGAGGCCAGTCTGATCTACATAGTGAGTTCCAGGACAGTCAAGGCTATATAGAGATCCTGTCTCAAAAAGATCAAAATAAATTTAAAAAACAAAAACAAAACCAGGCAGTGGTGGCACACGCCTTTAATCCCAGCACTTGGGAGGCAGAAGCAGGTGGAGCTCAGTAAGTTCAAGGCCACCCTGGTCTACAAAGTGAGTTCTAGGACAGCCAGGACTGTCATTCACAGAGCACACAGAGAAACCCTGTCTCAAAAAACCAAAACAAAAAACAAAACTAAATTAACAAAGATTCCCCCCTTAACTATGTTGAAACACGCCCTATGCCTGGGTACTCTGGCACTGAGCCTCCAACTTCACATTGAACACTGGCCCTGCTTTCCTTCAGTGTCTGCTGTTATTTTTGTGGCTGCCCCATTCCCACCTTGCTTCTCCCTCCCAGAGCAGAGATAAATAGGACAGAGGTGGAAATAGGAAGTACACAGCAGTTCCTGGAAATATGTGAGATCAGAATGAAGAGCTGGACCCAGGCTTTGGCCACTTACATGAGACAGAGGTTAAGTGTTCAGTTAGAACCTCCAGCTTACTCCTGCACGAACCAGAAAGCCCCAATTCCGTCTCTCTCCAAATCCCACCCTCTCAGAGAGTCTCCAACAAAAAAAGGCAACAAAAACAAAACAAAACAAACAAACAAACAAACAAATAGTTCTGCATTCTTGGCCACTACTGCAACTTCCTCTTGTTGCCACCAGCAGCCTAAGTCCCTACCTAAGCATTCAGCTTTTGACCAGCTTGTGATGGACACGTCATCACCCCTCACCTACAACCTATAGAAAGTCTCCCTGCTTTCATTTGTGGGTGCTGCTTCTCCAGCCTCCATCTCTGGGACTGGAGAACTCGCCTGGGAGTTGTTTTGCTCAAATAAACCTGTTACATGTTTTCAATTCGGCTTCATCTGGCTTACTGTATCAGCGAAAAACCTATTATCAGGGGGCAGCAAACCCATTAGTAAGAGCAGGTGTTGTTGTCTGAGAGTGGTCGGCTCTACAGGGTGCCTTAAAGATATCACAGGCTAATGGTTTCCAACAGGTGGTCTTTGAAGAACAGTTCTCCAGTGGCCTCACTCTCTCACCTTGCCTATGCCAGTGCCTCTTCCTTGGCTTAGTTTATATCCCCCCTTCTTATTGTTCTTGATGATTGTCTTCTGGGTATGGCCACTCCGTTTACTGGCTTTTACTTTAGTTATCTAAGGCAGCAATCCCGCCATGCTTGTAAATCCCCAAAGGCCCTTCTAGGGTGGATTTGGCCTCCAAGGCAGCGCAAAACCGAGCTGAGAAGCAGTTCAAGTATCAAGTACGGAAACGACCACCCATCAACAGGCCTTACCTGGATCCTGCCAGGGACAAGGTTGTCCGAGGTGGTGAATATGAGCTGTTTGGCACTGGATGTCTCTGGAGACGCCAGGATCACCTTCCCAGTTCCAGCTCCATCTGGGCTGGTCAGGATGAACTGCTGTTTGGAAGACCCAGAGGCGTCCACTGCGGTGACTATCTGGATCTTCTGTCCTGTCTGCTGGTCTGTTACAATCTACAAGATACAGCATGGAAGCCCCTTTGCATGGCCTGTCTTCAGACCTGTGTACTTGCACTTGAAGGCAGTGTTCCAGGAGGTTATCACTAGAATCACTGCTGGTCTAAGATACATTTTACCAGTTGTGATGGGTAATCTTCACTGTCAACCCGACTGGAGTTAGAATCACTATGGAAACACATCCCTAGGTATATCTATGGGGGTCTTTCCAGGAAGATTTGACTATGGAGGAAAGACCCACCCTGAATATGAATGGTGCCATTCCATGAACTGGGACCCTGGACCGAATAGAATAAAAAGGAGAAAATGAGCTGAGCCCCAGCAATCAATCTGTTCTGCTTCCTAACTATGGATACAATGTGACCAACTATCTTGTGTTTCTCCTGCCATAACTTCTACCAGGATGACTGTATCCTAATTCTGAACCAAAATGAAAGCCCTTCTTTTTGTAAATTTACTTTGTCTGGAATTTTGTCAAAACAATGAGAAAAGTAACCAACATACTGTAGCAGGAATCTTAGAAGGTCTTATTAATAAAAACAAACCCAGGGCCTGATATTGGGGTGAATGCTGGAAGATCAGAGAAGCAGAACAAGCCACAGCTTCTTCACCTCACCAATTCCTCAGCTGATCCTGTTTCCTCAGACTGGAAGCCTCTGTGTCCTCATATTCAAATGGATCTCAACTGAACTGCTTCTTGAAAGCCTAAAAGCTTAATCAGCTCTAGTTCCCGGTCCTCACGCCATATATACCTTTCTGCTTTCTGCCATCACTTCCTGGGATTAAAGGCTCTTGTTACCACGCCTGGCTGTTTCCAATGTGGCCTTGAACTCACAGAGATCCAGACAGATCTCTGCCTCTGGAATGCTAGGATTAAAGGTGTGTGTGCCACCATTTTCTGACCTCTATATCTAGTGGCTGTTCTGTTCTCTGACCCCAGATAAGTTTATTAGGGTGCAGAACATACAAGTGAGCTTTTCAGAAAAGTAACTAACATCCTTAGTGAGCTTTACAGAAATTATTTTTTATCAATTACTTTCACTCTAGGATTCTATCTTTACTATTTTTAGAATTAAAAGTCCCTTTGTGAAGACAATTATAATAGACTTAAACATAAAGGAAGGGAGGGAGGGAGGGAGGGAGGGAAGGAGGGAGGGAGGGCCTTTATCCTGTCATAGTCAAAAAAAGGCAGCCTTAACTCTTCAAAAATCTAGAGAGGGTTGCTTTAAAGAAGTGATACTTTTGAAGGGAACCTTGTCTGAGTGACAGAATTCACTTGGCTTACCACTGTAATTCATCACCAGCCTACTCCATTTTCTGACTCTGGGATCTTTTAGAGGCCTAACTTTACTGTTGTGTGGTCAGGGCCAGAAGAGGCCTGGCACATGGAGAGAAAATAATAAAAGACAGTGGAATGCACTGAAGAAGGCCTGATTCCAATTTCTCAAAGACCCAGAGCCTCTTCTTCACTGAACTCATAATTCTTATCCCTCAGACTCTCAAGAACTGGGATTACAGGTATGTGACACCACACTTAGCTTTTAGGTACCATTTCTTCTATGAGGAACACTAAGTAAACATAGAACACAACCTTGAGTTTGGTATGTTGCACAAAGTTACACCCATCCTTGCCTCGAGTTCATAAAAGACTAGAAGACAACAGAAGCAAGCTTGGAGAGCAACAGCCTCAAGTAAGCAGGGAAGCTAAGAAGGGGCGTCCTTAGACCCTGCAGCACCTCAGTTTTATTCATACAACCTGGCCTCCAGAGCTGTGGCACAACTTGTTTCTGTTAAGTCACAAAGCATGGGGAAGAAGACTGTATTGCAGTCTTAGGAAGCCTGTACTAAGAGGTAAGCCCAGACTTCCCTGTCTGAAACAAACGGCCATGCTCTCTGCCCAGCAGTAGGAGAGAACTGGGAGGACTGAGAGGAGAGGTCCTACTCTCTGTGATCTTCTACCCATTCAGAGGTGATGGGCACTTACTACAGATTAGTGAAAGAGCTGAGCACAACACACTTTTTGTGTTTTCCTTCAGACTGTTGGTTTCCAGGGAATAAAGTGAAGGGGAAATAGATAGAAAACTGCTTTTTGAGTACAGTTGCGTGGAACTAGGTAAGGCAGGGATGACACAACAGAGCAAACAGACCACAATGCTACTGAAGTACAATTAAATCCTAAGTTATTGATAATCGCATAACTATGAATGGTCTGCATATACCAATGAAAAGACAAAGATTACTAGGTAAAACAAGACTCAACACATTTTATATAGAAAGGACACAAATGAAGAGATAAAGATGTACCTTGTACATAAAGATAAAAACAAAAACAAAAACAGTAACTGTGAGAGCCAAAGTTACATTTTAAGTTGTAATTACTTTATCTAAGAGATCCATGAAAAATGTCTGTGATCTACAATCTCCTTGCTCAAGGACAGATAGTTTCTGAAATGCTGGAGACTATTATTTATGGGAGATAACGAGCCACATGATTTTCACTCCCCTAAACAAGTTTGTTTGATTGACCCATGTGCTCCCAATGTGCTTGATCACATGTGTGTGGGAGGTACACTGGCAGGAAATACGTCAGTATGTATGCTTGCCCCTGATTGGACCTGATGGGAAATACAATGAATTATGGATTTTCCTTCTTAAGCCCTTGCAAAACTTGATTCAGGGCCATTTCCCAGGAACCTGGGCATAGAGCTAGCCAGAGCCCATCCACCTGGCTAGCATTTAATTAAAGCTTGCTTCAAATTTGGCTTTGAATTGTGGCAGTGGTCTTATTCTCAATCAGTGGGATTAACATAACAACAAAAAGATGGAGTAACTATATTAATCTCAAATAAAATAAACTTCAAAACAAGGAAACTCTCAGGCCCTGTAAAGAGGCACTGCATAATAAGAATTCAATTCTCAAAGAAAGGATGTAATAACCCAAATCCATATGCGCCAAACAAGGAGCAAAATACATTAGGCACCTGGGTTTAGGAGGATGTAGCTCAGCTATTGGTTAGCATGTGCAAAACCCTAGGTTCCATCACTAGGACCAAAACCCCAAAACAATCAGGCAATCAAAACAAGGCAAACCCAGACAGAACTAGAGGGAGGGATAAAGAAATCCACAGCTATAGTTGGAGATGTCAAAGCCTTCCTGTAAGCACCAGCAGGCATAAAAACTAGTAAGGAACTGGTAGGCTAACCAGCACAATCAGCTTGCTATAAATGGCATTCATATGAGAACCCTTCTAACGTCCATACACCCCTCCTACTCAAACTTGCACAGGAGAGTCACAAACAGAAACTATATTCTGGCTTTTAAAATGCATTGTAAAAAAAAGTCTGCAGAGTGGAAAGTATACGTAATATGTTCTCAAACTCAATGAGACTTAAATAGAAATCAAAATAATATTATAATATAATAATTTTAATATAATGTAATAATATTATTATTATAATATTCTGAATCAAACACAGGCTAAGGACACAGTTACAAGAGTAATCTTACCTTAGGCTAAGTGGGGCTCACAGCAGATGTCTTGGCTAGCTATTTGGCAGTCACTGGTGTATGATGACACCTAAAGCCATCTGCTCAACTGGAGCCAATACAGAAAGTTGGAGCAAACACCCCAGAGTGTTGTTTGAATTTCTAAAAGGTCTTGTAATAAAAAACGCTGAACCAGATATTAGGGTGAAAGCTGAAAGATCAGAGAATCAAAGCAAGCCACAGCCACCACCTCTTACCTCACCAACTCCTCAGCCTGAAAGAGCTCCAGACGAAAGGGCTTTACAGTCAAAATGCCTTAGCTTTTGTCTCCTCATGCCTTATATACCTTTCTCCACCACCATAGTGCTGGAGATTAAAGGCATGTGACTTCCCAAGCAAAGGCATGAGATCTCAAGTGCTGGGATTTAAGGCGTGTGACTCCCAAGTATTGGGATTAAAGGTGTGTGCCACCACTGCCTGGCTCTGTTTCTGTCCTAGACTGAGTCAATCTCATGTAGTCCAGAGTGGCTTTGAACTCAGAGATCCAGACAGATCTCTGCCTCCCGAGTGCTAGGATTAAAGGTGTGTGCCACCACTGTCTGGCATTTATGTTTAATCTAGTGGCTTGTTCTGTCCTCTGATCTTCAAGCATATTTTATTAGGGTACATAGTATATCACCACACCAGAGTATAATTCTGTAGAACCCCAACATTTTCCATTAGGAAGAGAAGAGCAATAGGAATTAAACGAGAATTATTCTCCATACTATTTCCTAAAGAGGTCTCTCCTGTAAGGCAGATAACTCAGTTAAAGGACCAAAGATACTTCAGAGCAGTAGTTATGGAAAGGCATAGCCTTTTCATATATACAAGTGCATGCATATATATGCAAAAAGTAATTTGGATTATAATGTGTATTAAATACAGTAAGATAACTACAACAAAAGGCCTACTGGTTGAAAAGTAAGTGGAGTAAGAATACAGAGAAGGACATAGAAAACAGTACTTTTTGTTTTATAAAACCTGAAAATACCTGTAATCCCATCACTCAGGAGGCAGAGGCAGGCTGATCTCTGGGAGTTCAAGGCCAGCCTGGTCTACAAAACGCCTGTCTCAAAAAGCAAAAACAGAAAACTTGAAAATACATATAAAACAATAATTTGTTTATTATGTACATTTATATAAAAGTATAAAAGTTACACAGCACTAACAGATCATTTAGCAAACTGACATTTAAAAATACATGGTATTAATATGGGGAAATAGATGCTTCCAGGCTGGATTGGTGGGAACATAAGTCAGTATGCCTTCTTTAGTGATGGTGCAATAAAAATGGGATATCAAGTAGTCACTCAACAGGAATGGTTGCATCTGCTTTGTACATTGTGTGCCAGCTGGTTTTCTGTTAACCTAACACGAACCTAGACCGATCTACGAAGAAGGAAGAGGGAAATCTTAATTGAGAAAAGATCTCCCTAAGACTGGCCTGTCAGCAAGCCTGTGAACCATTTGCTTAACTGACTGATGTGAGAGGACTAACCTAACTCTGGGCAGGTGCTCCTATGTTGTACAGGAAAGCAAGTGGGGCAAGCCATGGGGAGCAAGCCAGTAAGAAGTGTCCCTCCTTCATCTCTGATTCAGTTCTTGCCTCCAGGTTCCTGCCCTGACTTCCTTTGATATTGACGTCAAGAACTGTAAGCCAGCCAGGCGGTGGTGGCGCACGCCTTTAATCCCAGCACTCGGGAGGCAGAGCCAGGCGGATCTCTGTGAGTTCGAGGCCAGCCTGGGCTACCAAGTGAGATCCAAGAAAGGCGCAAAGCTACACAGAGAAAAACCTGTCTCGAAAAACCAAAAAAAAAAAAAAAAAAAAGTGTAAGCCAAATAAACCTGTTTCCTCTCCAAGTTGCTTTTAGTCACAGTGTGTTCTAGTACAAGCAAGAGAAACCTAAGACAACATGGAACCATCTTAAAAAACAAAACAAAACAAACAAACAACAACAACAACAAAAAACAAGGGGTAAAAGATGTACCAAATGTTGATCCTTCTCTGAAACAGCAAGAGGGGCTGAGGAGATGGATCATTCAGTTAAGTCAGTCATGCTTCCAGTGCAAACATTAGGACCTGAAGTCAGATCCCAAACACCCACATAAAAGCTGGGCTTGGCAAGGAATATCTGTAACCACAGGATAGCCAAGAGCTTACTGGACAGCCAGGCTAGCCAAAATTGCAAGTTCCAGAATTTATCTCATTTCAAATTATAATATAAAATTAAAAACAAATAAAATTCCTTAAACTTTTTTTTTTTAAGGAAGAGATCTGGCTCAGTTAATAGAGTGCTTGTCTGACATGCACATGGCCCTAATTTGACCCTCAAGCACCATAAAAAAAATGGGTATGGTGGCACACACTTGTAATTCCATTACTCAGGAGGCACATGGATATTCAAGGTGTCTTCAGCTACACAGTGAGTTCCCCCTCACCCAATAAAGAAAAAAAGAATCTACTGAGAGAAACCTATATCCACCCCAGTCTGTGCCTTGAATGGTAGGACTTTGGTACAGCATGCATATATTACCTCTCCAACCCCCATAGGCAAGCAACAACTCTTCTGGGTACCTAAGAGGGGACACTGGAATATCAGAGTAAGAAAGAAACAGCAGAAAGTGGTGGACAAAGAAAACACAAAACACAATGCTACTGCAAGTGGGAAGCACATATAGAAAGGCTATATAAGAGTCCCAAGCCGGGCGTTGGTGGCGCACGCCTTTGATCCCAGCACTCGGGAGGCAGAGCCAGGCGGATCTCTGTGAGTTCGAGGCCAGCCTGGGCTACCAAGTGAGCTCCAGGAAAGGCACAAAGCTACACAGAGAAACCCTGTCTCGAAAAACCAAAAAAAGAGTCCCAGAAGCATTCTCCTAAAAATTCCAATAAGATTTCAAACTTAAAAAAAAAAATCACAAAGTCATTTCTAACAAAATTGTACATAAATCTCAATATATAATATAGTTGAATATTAGATATGTAAATGTATTTTAGAAACAAGCACTTAAGTAAAGTTGATCAATGATTACAATGATGCTTTCCTGAAAAAGGGGGAGATGGAGGACCATCAAGAGAACCTCAAACGACAGAGAATTCTCATAAAGTCACCACTGAAGAATGAACAAGATAGAAAATCCCACAATCATCTCCAAAATGGAACACTATGCAATCCCTTTTCCCTTTTAACTTATCTTCCTTTTAAAAGCTGGATTAAAAAGTAAAAATCAAACCTAATGTTTTCTGTGTCCTCCTCCATCATCCCCCCAGCTCCTGCCCTACATCTTTATCCCCAAAAACAGCAGCTTTCGGCCCCAGCCGTTCCTCCACTGAGGGACTATGTTCTTCTTCCTCCTCCTTAGAACAACACAAAGAACACCAACAATGCTTCTGGTCTCCTGTGCTAACCTGCACGACGAAGGATGGTCCTTCTGTGTTGCCTGGCACCTAATTACTATCATCATAATCAATAATGAATCAACAAATCTCAGAAAGAAAAAAAGCTGATAAAAACAACTCTGGAAGTTGTGGAATGAGGATTATGAGGATCCTACAAAGGCATGTTTCAGTATTAATATTTCTTTACATAATTATGATTATGTAAAAGATTAAGAAATCTACACGACTGATCCAGTGCAAAGGAATGATCCCTGTAGTTTGTGATCAAATCAATCAGAAATATTACATATAACATACATTCAGAACTGGATGGCAAACAGTGAATCTAAGTAAAGATTGTAACAGAATTTTATTTAATATTTTCTGTAAATTTGAAGCAGTATAAAAACAGGACATTAAAAGCTATAGCAAGGGCTGAAGATAAGGCTCAGAGGTTAAGAGCACTGGCTGCTCTTCCAGAGGTCCTGAGTTCAATTCCCAGCAACCACATAGTGGCTCACAACCATCTGTAATGAGATCTGGTGCCCTCTTCTGGCCTAAAGGGATCCATACAAGCAGAACACTGTACACATAATAAATAAATAAATCTTTAAAAAAATAAAAAAAGCTATAGCACAAATCTAGGTGTGTTAGCACCAGCCTGTAATTCCAGTACTGGGGATGTGGAAGCAGAAGAATCAGGAGTTCAAGGCCAACCTCAGCTACACAACAAGTTTATTAAGTCAGCCTGAGCTACAGGAGAGCCCACTGCAAAACACAAACATAAAAACAAACAAAACCTCCAATAGCACAACTGCTAACATTTCCTGGTACTCATGTGCAGAGCTGCATGCCTTATCTCACTGCATCCTTTTGCACTATCACAGTGACATTGCAGAAATAAAGGTTTGCAAACTCTCCCTAGGTCATATAGCTGACTGGTCACAAGACTGGATCTTAGGTCTGTTAATTCAGCTAAATATTGTCTAATCCGACATCTTTCCCTCTTATCCTTTCCAGAGGAACCACTATGTAGGCTCTAAGCATTGCTGTCAGAAACTACAGTATTAAAAATGCACTCTTTCCAGGCTCCAAGGGAAGCAACATTCACTGACAAAGCATGGGCTAGGAATGAGGATGCCACTGAGGCCATCTGCATTAACACTAAAAACACAGAAATTACTTCACTTTTAAAAAACAAATCTTCTTAAAAAAATATCCCCCCGCCCCCAGACAGTTTCTCTGTGTAGCTTTGCGACTTTCCTGGAGCTCACTTGGTAGCCCAGGCTGGCCTCGAACTCACAGAGATCCGCCTGGCTCTGCCTCCAAGTGCTGGGATCAAAGGCGTGCGCTACCAACGCACGGCTTAACATTTTTTTATTTATTATTGTGAGTGTGTGCGTGCGCAAGCACAAACAGGAGTGCATGCGATGAATGTATGAGTGAAGGTACATGCATGCCATGGTGCCCATGTAGAGATCTGAGGACAACTTTAGGAGTCTGTTCTTGCTTCCTCCTAGTGTTAGTTCTGGGACTGAGCTCAAGTCACCATGGTTCCTTGGCAGGTGCTTTTACTTGCTGAGGCATCCTGTTGTCCCAACCCTGGTATTTTTCACACCCATGTAACAGGTGTTTTTTCAGTTGTTCATCTCTGTTTATGTGTCCTGATTCAGCTGGGTAATCAAACATCCAATCCTGTCCTCCCAGTTTCTTGCCATAATTTCCAAAGTCTTTTTGTTCAAAAGAGTAGTGGGTTAAAGACAGATTCACAGCCCTGCCCCTGCTTAAGTAACAGTTAACAATCTACTACTATTACTACTACTAATAGTTACTGTGTATAGATCATACATATTGAACATGGTTATGTACAAGACACCTTTCTAAGTATTTTAAAAGCATTATACCTGCTGATTCCTTACAAAATCCTGGGGCAAGCTCTAGTGTGTGTGTGTGTGTGTGTGTGTGTGTGTGTGTGTGTGTGTGTGTGTGTGTGTGTGTGTGTGTGTGTGTATTCCAAATAGAAAAAAATTAAGCATTAAAATTGTTATTGCCCCGATTAAAAAACTTATTAAATCAGGGCATTGGATGTGACTACAAGCAGGGGTCCCTGATTCTAATAGGATATATATTGCCTCTCAATTTGGAAAAAAGTAAGTAATAAAATGGCACATCATCCAGTAGTTTGAAGCAACAGTTCATACTTTTGCTTTAAAAGTAACTTAAACAAGCCGGGCAGTGGTGGCGCACGCCTTTGATCCCAGCACTCGGGAGGCAGAGGCAGGCGGATCTCTGTGAGTTCAAGGCCAGCCTGGGCTACCAAGTGAGTCCCAGGAAAGGCGCAAAACTACACAGAGAAACCCTGTCTCGAAAAATCAAAAAAACAAAAAAAAAAGGTAACTTAAACAAATATAAACTTTTTTTTTAATGAATACAAACTGTTAATTGTTGTTTTCCAAATAAATGAGCTCACACTGTACTTAATGCCAAGAGGAATCTACTCTGTAGTGAACCTCTCAGGCAGGTTTGGTTGTGGAGAGAATGAAGAAATCTAGTAGAACTGACTTGAGTACCTGAATGCGCTGAGGTGAGGCTACCGCAGAGTCGGTGGAAATTATCTGGATGCGCGGGGAGGGGCTGGTCATCCCTGGAGATTCCGGCCGAGAGGTCTGTGTACGTGGTACCTATGGATGAGAACATGGGGCTTAGGGAGTGATTTCCCGAGGACTTCACTTTTCTTTTTTGAAGACAGGATCAGGTCTTCATGCTGGCCTTGAACTACTGAATTACTGACCCTCCTGTCTCTACCTCCCAAATATGAGGATTACAAGTATGCACTACCCTGCCCAGCATGGGCATGCCTCATGCTCTTGCTGTGGCCTTGAGTGACAAACTTGAATTTTGAGGTATTAGCACAGGCCAACAAAGTAAGTAGTGAGATACTGCCCATGATGGTCCCAAGAAAACACCATCTTAAAATAGCTGCTTCTGATGTTGAAAACACAAGTACAAACCAAATCAGTTCTGCTTTTTCATGACCTTTAAAAAAGAAAGAAAAAAAAAACGAAAAGAAGATTAAAAAAAAGAAAAAAAGCTATCAAAATAACTTTTTTGTTTTTAATAGAAATGCTCTTTGAATTTTTCCCACTGTTTGCAAAGCCCACTGTAAAACTCTCCTCTGTAATGACTTTTAAAAGAAAGTCTTTCACAACATTGCAAGGTATGGATGACAAACAGCCAGCACAGCCCTGAAAATATTGGAAGCAGCATTATGGAAGGGTCTTGACAATGGGCCAGGCAGAACGAAGTTGGGCAAAGTTCACCACAAACACAAGGATACCTACCAAAGGTGAGGATCAACGTGCTGAGTGGTCACCTGGGTACCTGAAGTGAGAAGACAGTATTTTCCCGGATTAAAAGCTTATAATGAACCAACACCATACAAACGTGGCATGTCCCCCTTCCTGTAAAAATGATTCCCTAATTTATTCTGTGAGGTCAATATTGCTCAGCACCAAAACTAAAGATGTAATAAAAATTATCTTACAAATACAGATATAAAAACTCAATGAAAGAAAGCAAACTGAATCACAGTAGCATGCCTAACTGCAGCTTACCCAAGGAGCGCAAGGTTGATTCAACGCATGAAAAGCAGTTCAGCAAAAGCTGCAAGATCACTTTAATGGACAGAACAGACAGAAAGCATCTGACAAAATCCAACACTTTAGTGATTTATAAGAAAGAAAGAGAACAAATTAGAAATAAGGAGACACTCAATCTGATCAAGGAGAGAAGACAAAGCTTTCCCCCAAGATGAGAAACAAGACCGGATATGTTTTCATCACTGAATAATGTACTGGAGCTGCTAGCAGGAAAACAAGGTAGAGAGAGAAGAAAACTAAAAGGAGGAAGAATGAGAGTGAAAGGGGAAGAAGGGAAGAAAGAAGAGGGAAGCAGAATGTATCAATCATCTCCATAAGCATGCTCTTACATAAAACCTCACAGAATCCACAAAAATGCCCTTACAAATGGTCATAGTTCCAAGGTTGCAGATACAAGATAATTGTATTTCTTTACATTGGCAATAAGCGATCTGAAAACAAAATTAAGAAAATAATCTCACTGATAACACAAAACAAGAACAAAATGTGGGAATAAATTTAACAAGGTAAGTATAAATAAACCAAGTGTGATGACTCACACATGTAATCCCAGAAACTTGAGACAGCAGAAAGTTTGAAGCCAACTAGAGATACATAAATTCTATGTACCTCTGACTGGGCTACAGAGTGAGAACTTGTCCAAAAAAGAAAAAGAATACAAACAAACAAATAAACCAGCTAACAAACAAACAAACAAAATAATCCCCAGAAAATACCACTGAAAGAATTAAGACAGTAGCTGGGCGGTGGTGGCTCACACCTTTAACCCAGCACTTGGGAGGCAGAGGCAGGCAAATCGCTGTTGAGTTCAAGGCCAACCTGGTCTACAGAGCAAGTTCCAGGACAGGCTCCAAAGCTACACAGAGAAACCCTGTCTTGGAAAAAATAAAATATTTATCCTAAATTGATCCTAAAACCCTAAAATTCATGTGAAATGCAAGGAACCCAGAACAAAACAATCCTGAAAAAGAAAATGAAGATGTAGGAGGACTCATACCTCTACATTTGATTACTAAAACCTACACAATCAAAGCAATGTTGACTCTTACAACTCTCACTTCTGGTATTTAACTACAAGATCTGAAATCCATTTATGGAAGAGATGTTTGCATTTCAGTGTAGTATTCAAGAAACAAAGTTATGGAATCATTAAAGTGTCATTAACAGGTGAATGGATCAAGAAAACAGTTAGGAGTTAGAGAGATGGCTCAGCAGTTAAAAGCACTAGCTGCTCTTACACCCATACGGCAGCTCACAGCCAACCTCAACTCCAGTCCAAAGAATCTAACATCATTTTCTGGCCTTTTTGGGCATTGCACATACGTAGTGCACATATATAACACAGGCAAGCATTCATACATATAAAATAAATATTTTTTAATGACATATAAAAAGAAAATATGGGGGCAGGAGAGGGGAGAACAAGGGAATCAGTGGCTGATATGTAAAATTAAATTAAATTATAAAATAAAGTTTAAAAAAAAGAAAATATGGGTATACATATACAATGGAATACTTAACAAAGTCAGTTAAGGCCGGGCGTGGTGGCGCACGCCTTTAATCCCAGCACTCTGGGAGGCAGAGCCAGGCGGATCTTTGTGAGTTCGAGGCCAGCCTGGGCTACCAAGTGAGCTCCAGGAAAGGCGCAAAGCTACACAGAGAAACCCTGTCTTGAAAAAACAAAAAAACAATGTCAGTTATGATAACATGGATGGAACTAGAGAGCACTATGCTAAATGAAACATGACAAGCAGATACCCACAATGTCCTCAAACAATTGAAAACACAGAAGAGTAGAATGATGGAAACAGGAAGACAATGTCAAAGGTTATGAATTCTCACGCAGTTTTCTTGGGTATTGTTTGAGATCTCCTGCACAGTGTGGTGAACGAGGTTAATAAGAGTGTTTTACACTCCTCAAAAATGCTAAGAATACATCTCAGGTGTTCTCACAAAATATTTAAAGTGCTGAATGTTAAGTAGTTTGACTTAAAAAATATTCTATAAGCTGGGCGGTGGTGGCACACGCCTTTAATCCTAGCACTGGGAGGCAGAGCCAGTGACTCTCTGTGAGTTCGAGGCCATTCTGGTCTATAGAGCAAGCTCCAGGACAGGCACCAAAACTACAGAGGAAAAAAAAAACAGGGTTGGGGATTTAACTCAGTGATAGAACGCTTGCTTAGCAAGCACAAGGCCCTAGGTTTGGTCCTCAGCTCCAAAAAGAAAGAAAAAGAAAAAAACAAAAACAAAAAAATCTACATTGTATTAAAAATTTACAGTGTTATTGTGTATTCCACAAATATATAAAAATAATTTTATATATATATATATATATAGGCTCTCCAGGTCTGGTGAGATGGCTCAGTGGGGTAAAGGTGCCTGCTACCAAGCCTGATGACTTCAGTTCATCCCTAGGACCCATATATATGGTAGGAGAGAACCTACTCCCTATGAGTTATCTTCTGACTTCTAGACATGTGCCATGGCAGGCACAAACATAGAATAAAAAATAAAAAATAGGCCCTCCAGAGAAAATCTTAAGGAAGCTGCCAAAATTTCTCCAAGGCATTCTGACCACCTTAAAATATTTAGGTGACCTAGAGTAACATTTGTTCATTGCCATACTAAAATTAAAACCTCTATGCAGGATGCATTCCCATCTGTCATTTTTTGAACATGCAATGAATGAAGCATGACTTCAAACTGAGCGTGCTCAGGAATTCTGCTTACCTCCAGGAATGAGTCTTCACAAGGAAACATGCATGGACTTTCCTGATAAAAATCCTTGCTCAGGGGGCTGGAGAGATGGCTCAGCGGTTGAGAGTACTAGCTGTTCTTCCAGAGGTCCTGAGTTCAATTCCCAGCAACCACATGGTGGCTCACAACCATCTCTAAAGGGCATACATGCAGACAAAGCACTTGTAAATAAATAAATAATTAATTAAATGCTTAAAAAAAAAATCCTTGCTTAGGGTACAATGCTTTGAATCACGGCAAGGGCTCTCTCTCCTTACTTGCTGGAAGTAGTTATATTCCCTCCAATCTATCTTCTGGTTGTGTGTATCTACTGGCTGTGCCCACTCACCAAGGGACCAAATTTGGCTATAAATGGGCAAAGAATAATCTTTATAACAAATGGTGACAACTACACATTATAAATAAAATAACTCAGCCGGGTTGTGGTGGCGCATGCCTTTAATCAGGAGGCAGAAGCAGGTGGATTTCTGTGAGTCCAAGGCCAGTCTGGTCTACAAAGTGAGTTCCAGGATAGCCAGAACTGTTACACAGAGAAACCCTGTCTCAAAAAACAAAATTAAATAAAATAAGTAAAAATAGACTAAAGATTAAAAAGCAAGAGTTAAAACATTAAAACTCTTGCAAGAAAACAGGTATAATTTTGTGATCTTGGATTTAAGTGATGGTTTTTGGATGTCACTGACAGCATAAATAACAGCAAAAAATCTGATAAACTGCACATTTCCAAAATTAAAAACATGTGTGTATGTGTTTGTAAAGGACAGAAAATAGTATCAGGTATTGTTCCTCGGGTGCCAGTGACCTATGTTTAGGTTAAGTCTCTCACTGGCCTAGAGCTTACCAGGTAGGCTAGATTGGCTGGCCAGAGAGCTGTAGGCATCTGCCTGTCTCCAAGGCTGGAATTACTAATTCATTTCACTACATCCAGTAAACATTTTACTGACTCGCCATCTTCCCAGCCCCCAATTAAAAACTTCTATGTCCCAAAGACACTAACACCAACAAGAAAATCCATATAAGTGGGAGAGATTCTTACAAATCACTTACAAGGATCCACACATAGCATATAAAAAACTGCTTTAACTTAAAATGTAGCCTAGTGGTAGATCATGTGCCTACCACATACTAGGCTGTGGGGTTCAATTCCCAGGACTGCATCACACAACACATTCACAGGGGATGGGTGGGGTAAGGGAGTCCTTTAACAAAATATACAAATGGCCAATAAGCACAATGAAAGATTCCCTACATATCTTTAGTTACTA